TCTTTCTCCTCCATATTTAATAAGAGAAAGAGAGAGAAAGAGATAATATGAACATTGATTCTTATATTCACAAACACTGAATCCCTGATTTTGATAACTGTTCCCATAAGTATAACATTTAAACTCAATATATATAAATAAATTTAGTTTGTTTTCTTTAATCTAGCTTAATTCATTTAGAATTTTTTTCAATAAAAAAGACTCTAAATAAATAAAATAAAATAAATAAAAATTATAAAAAATGTGTTCGTGCATATGTGTATTCCTACCAACAGAAGAAATTTTAGTCGGATGAAATCCTATAGGACGAAACGCGTCACAAACTTTGGGTTACATTTCACCATATATATATATATATATATATATATATATATATATATATATATATATATATATATATATATGTGTGTGTGTGTGTGTGTGTGTGTGTATATATATATATATATATATATATGTATGATGTAGGGTATGGCATAGATATGCAAATAAAACAAACACTGACTACAGCGATTACTGAAACATTGTGCAGTACTAAACCTCTAAGTGTGGAAAGCCAACCGAGATATATTCAAAATTAGTATTCCGAATGGTAAAAGTAAAACCCGACCGCGTTATCTGCCAATGAGAGATTAACAGATATTTGAATAGACTGAGATAGATAGATAGATAGATAGATAGATAGATAGATAGATATTTTTCCTAATTGCTTCACTGACCTCACTCTTCCATTTATTTGTCCGGTTGCTATAGATACGGGCGTCACATATAGTGTTGTCATGGAGACAAGTGGTCACTGTACGTCTGTCCGCCCATGCTGGTCGGTTGGCGTAGAGAAAGCATTCTAACAATTATTGCGGCCAATTAGAGGAGCATCGTGCTTGGCATCGAGCTGGACTTGTTGGAGCCGTTAGTAAAATATGTCCTCAGAGGAGACATTACAAATCATACAGATGCATTACATATATGCACGCACAATCTCATATATATATATATATATATATATATATATATATATATATATATATATATATATATATATATATATATTACAATGATGACCGCCGTATACAAGGTCCGAGAGTTACTCGGGTAATGGTTACAGAGCAAGCACTTGAGAGTCGGCTTCACAAAATAGTTGTTTGTGGGAAGAAGCTACTCGAGAGGAACTTACATCTCACCAAAAGAATACGAAAGGAATGAGGGCGGTTCGCTTCAGTTTGCGTGACATGGTGGAAGATTAGGACTGGTGGAACATTCTTCATGGAAATTGCCCTAAAGCAGCGAGAGGCTTACGACGTTACGTCTGTGAGAAAGGGTAGGGAAGAAAATAATTCATCACCCATAAGGACGGTGAGACACTTTGGACACTATGGAGAATGGAAATATATCCCATTGTATTCCATTTTCGGCCTAATCTGGTTCTTGTAAAGATAGAGTATATCAGGAAGAGTCAGGTATTTCTTGGGTACGGTACGGGGAACTGATCATTTTTCCAGCATTTTTATCAATGGATCGTATGTTCGAGTTATACTTGAGGTCTGGGCTGAGTTTAAGTCCCAATAGGCACTCAGGACACGGAGCCTCCCCGAGGGGGGATATTCGTTCATCGCGATCAGTGAAAGTTCTGTTAGAGCTCGGGCAAAGGAGAGATCAACTGGTCATCGAGGATGGACCTATATACCGTTGTATCATCGGAGTAGATATTGACATATGATTAGAGTATATTCATAGCCAAATCATTTATGCAAAGTAGAAAGAGGGTTGAAACGAGAAGTGAACCTTCAGGGACCTATCCGTAAAGAAGGACTTTATAACTGAAAAAAAAAAATCTTTCAGTGATTCTATAGCTAGATAGTTTGAGCAGAAACTGATTATATCACACTTTGTCAAAAGCCTTTGAAATATCTAATGCGATCGTCCTTGAGATGTTGTCAAATGCTTCACTAATTCTGTGAGTATTCGTAGGTAGGATATCAGCAGTGGACAGAGCCAATCGAAATTCCTACTGTTTGTCGTTCAAGACAATTGAAATGACTAACAAACTTCTTATTGATTATAGCTTCAAAGTGTTTGTTAATGACACCGAGGAAACTTTGAGGGAAATGAACGTTCACCCGCATTCTTGAAAACCAGGGACACACTTGACACACTCCACAGACTTGCGAAGGATTTCTCTTTCGAGCAACGGTTAAGTAATTTCTCTGAGATCGGGGAAATCACTGGGTTAATTCTTAAGGACAAATTCTGGGATTTTTTATGGACTAGTATAGATGCTGTAAATCCAATAGGTTTTTAGAAATTGTTTTTTTTTTACGCTTCGGATACGAAACTGAGCAAATTTGGGCTCCCAAAAAATAATATGAGAGAAGATGTGTGCTTTCCTTAAAAAGGAAAATGGTGCCTTGCTTGCTGTGAGGCTGTTCTTGCTGGAGTTGTAAAGCACGTTGGAACAAACGGAGAACGCAGGCTGGATCCCTGCTGGAGAACACATTTTCTTTACCAGGATTTCTAGAATGGAGAGGATGATAGACGTGATACAATAAATGAATAAGAATGAGGCGTCTATTTCAAATACAAAGTGTCCACTAAAATCATGTTTGAAGTAATGACAATAGTTGCAGTATAAAATCATATATTTGGGTGTTGAAATAAACTGTGACTGAGCAGGAATTTGCTAGCCAATCAAACAATCAAATGGGTGTACACGGAAACGATAATATATATATATATATATATATATATATGGGGGGTGTATGTGTGTGTAGATGTTTAAGTTCGTAACTTCACACCTAGTTATTAGCTGAAATTGGGATCTGCATTTGATTACTGCAATTCTCAAGCAACGGGAATAATATTCACCACTGAATTAAGTGCGTTAATAAGAAATGAGATTATGTTGAATGTAAGCATTTCATTAAAGAACGTGTTGGGAAATTCTCCTTTTTGAATTTGCTGAAACGCAATGTACTTGACATTATTTGACGCGTTTGATTAGAGTAACATTCAGGGAATTAAAAATGTTTAGAAACCTTCTTCCATCGGTTAAAAAGAGTTTGGATTTCGTGGAGTCTTTTGGTAGTACAGTGTAACCCGGATATAAGAGACCCGGATATAAGAGAAACTCGGATATAAGAGAGATTTTGTCTGGTCCCAAATTAGAGCCTGTGTTAATGTATATAAAATAGACCAAACCCGGATATAAGAGAAACCCGGATATAAGAGACTTCTTCTCCGGTCCCGACAACTCTCTTATATCCGGGTTACACTGTAAATTGATTTAAAGAAAATTATATTATATTGACTTGGTCTGAACTAGAGAAAGAAAGAGACAGGGTGAGAGTGAAAGTACGTGTGACTAACTCGTTAGAATGTTAGTGTTCCAAACATTTTATAACTATAAGCCGTTTATATTATTAATTATGTGTAAAAAATGTCTATTTCTGATCATATCCATCTCAAAATCGATGTATGTGTTTATATTTACTAATAAGTTCCAGTTTGTTTTAATCTATCGGCTGGTCTAGCTTAGCCTCTGTTCATGACTACCAATCATATTACTGCATGAAGAGTTACCCCCCTCCCCAGCTTGTTAACTTTTCAGTCTGATGTCTATTTATATTAGATACTTACACTATCACTTTTCTATGTCACTCGCCTCACACTATCTCGAGGTATTAATTCTGCAATTAGATATTATTTAATAAATGTGATATGAAAAGGCGCTGTCAAAATCAGAATCCTATAAGGACACAGTTAAATACAAGGCACGGGTATACGTTTATATAACAAGTGCGTCAATATTTAAGAATACTCCTTTAGTGGGCAATAAATTGAAGACGAATTTTACACGCATTCGCCAAATGTTAATGTTTTCCTTTCTCTTTCGTATCGAGAGAATTAAGAGAACAGCTTCCAATCTGACGCAAGAGATGAAAAAGTATGCTTGTTGGACTAAACATCAGCCATATTGATAGCCATAGTGGCCGAATTCGTCTAGTATATCAAGGACCTGAGTAGGTAGATGGAGGACCTCACAGGGATTTTCAAGGTGGGGCATCAGTAACAAGTCCAGTTTGATGAGGATAATAGAATTCATGGCCAATGAGACTCGAGAGACCCATCTGTACCACACGAAGCTTAACATGCAATTAGAGCCAGATGATGAGACAGAAGAAATGACAGCTGCTCTAAGTTGATCCTCTGGAAATAACCACGAAGATGCACAGAAAGTTCACATCATCTGTGATGGTATTAGCAGCCGTGAGAAATGAATGCCACGTCATAATGTGTTGCTTCTTTTCATTGAACTTCAGCCACCACCTAATATTGAGATGTTAGACATCAAGATTAAAAACTAGAGTAAGCTGATTGTTGTAAGTGTTCCAGTCAAAATTCTTTCCTCCCACATGGGCAATAAGATCCATAAGTGGTCAGGTATATTCCATCTCATATTCTCTGGGGATTCCTAGTTATTATATCTAAGGCATCGTCAAGGGAGAGACCAACCAACGAACACACAATAGAAAAGATTCTGTGAAGCATATGAAATCTGTGAAACGTGGCACTGTGGATGTGATGATCAATGCGAATGAGAATCACTAAAAAAGGCACTCCTGAGGTCTCACTGAGGCTGTTCTGAAAAAGGGAGGGTGGCTTTGTTGAATAGCTATTTTGCTTCTCCTAAGCTGAATATATGTACATATTTTTTAAGTATGTATATTTTTCTGTTGTAAATCTTTGCCATCATAGATCTTGCGAAGCAGAATGAATATATTGTTCGCGCACATATTTTTATATATATATATATTTTATATATATATATATATATATATATATATATATATATATATATATATATATATATATATATATATATATATATATATATATATATATATATATATATATATATATATATATATATATATATATATATATATATATATATATATATATATATATATATATATATATATACACACACATACATACATGTGTGCTTACGATCACATCTCGTTGAAACACTGGTTCCCGTATGATCACCGAAGTTAAGCAACGTCGAGCCTAGTCAGTACTCAGATGAGTGACCGCTTAGGAATATCGGGTGCTGTAAGCTTCGATATGAGGGTGGTGTAATTGATACTGTCTCGAAATTGCTAATTGAAGAGCCGAGTTCTAATTCTACTCGGGTCTGTTGTATTCACTTATGCGTAAATACCATTGGGAAAGATATGAATGCACCTCTCACCCCCCCAACAGATATGTGTTAGTGACTTGTGTCCCTATTATTATGATTTCGGCATTGAATAACACATGAAGCCTGCTATGCCGCTAAACAAAAAAAAAAAACAAAAAACAAAAAAAACAAACTACTATATATATGTGTATGTGTTTATGCAAATTGTCAAATATCCTCTTGTGATGGTTAGATATTCTGTCGATGTACAAATCCTTAGTGTATAGTTTGTGCAAGCCTTACTTAGACGATCGATACATTTGACTTGAATAAGGGTTTGCACAAAGCATACACTAAGTATTTACACAACCACAAGTACGTCGACAGAAGGTCTAACCACCATAAAAGGATATTTGACAATTTGCATAAATTCGTACAGTATAGGTTATCGACCAATTGTAGTAACAAAGAAATATTCGACGGTAATAAAGCCAAATATAACAAAGCGTTAGAATACAGCAACCAGAATGTAAAATTGATGTATGTAGATCGAAATAAGAAGAAAGATAAAAATAACGCAAAAGTAACATTAACCCGCCATACTACTGTAATGTCAAAACTAGGCACCTCCATTTTTTCGCGGAAAAACAGCATAGCGTAATGAAAAAAGGGTCACAATTTAATAAATCAAGGCGGGATGCCACTAGCACGCAAGGAGTTACATAGAATGGGAGCAAGACTAAAAAGGAATGATAGAGGAAAAGATGAAGAGAAGTGTAGGGAATAGATCAAGGCATCTGGAGAGGTCTGTTGACATTGCATTTGAATAGTTAGCTATCTAAGTAACAAACAATAGGTGCGAGAATGAAGCTATTTGAGTAGAAGAGACGGCTACATTTAACAGTTTCGACAGTGCAAGAGTGGGACTGAGATGCCAGCCTAGTAGCACGTTTAAATTCATGGACTCTGGGAACTACCGAAAGTAGCTCGTCGGAGCAGTTACCGTGAAAGTATTTGTAGAAAAGGCAGAGGGAGGCGACGGCACGTTTGTGAGAGAGCGACTGTAGACGAGATGCCAGATCAGGGCCAATTACATTAATCTACCTTAAGACGAACAGCGGGGGCAGCAGACCATATATGGCAGGAGTAAAGCTTTTAATTGATTTAAGTTATATTAAGGACATTAATGTCTGAAGAAATAAAATTTTTTCCGATGGATAATGAAGTTTTACAATTTTTTTTTCATTTTTTAATTATAATAATTTATAATAGTTTAAAATCGTGTAAAATTCTGTATTGGGCTATTTCTTGGATGTGATATAGTAATTAAATGGAAACAAAATTTACAAAACCAAAATTGAAAAGAGTAATAAACGTAGTACCACTATTCTATTTTTAAAATTATTTTTTTTTATTTTTTTTCTTAATTTGTTGTTTTTTTTCATCTATTTTTATGAAAAGGTCACGTGATCTAAGAATTTTGTCTCATTACAGAGAAATTCATTTAAGAAAATTTTAGAGTATTTAAAATTTTTCTTTTATTTTTGCATGAAGCCTCTTCGAAATTTAGATAAAAGTCAATAAATTATTAGATAATTGCAGTAAATATGTTCATTTGTAAAAATTACTAAGTAGTTAAAAACCAAAAAATAAAATGAGTTCACCTAGAATTCGTAAATTTTATGTCAATTCTAGTCATCTATATTAGCTGTCATCGCTTCGTCACTCAATCTTCCATCAAACATCGCTTCAGTTAAACACAGCTGATCAATAACAAATGGTTGTATATTACTTTTTTATGCTATAAGTAAGTAATATTTATTTCAAATCAGATTAATTTAACTTTAAATTTTTTAATTTTAATCAAATAACGTGTCATATATATATATATATATATATATATATATATATATATATATATATATATATATATATATTAAAATCAAATCAAATTTGTTTACAAATTTCTTAAAATTAAGAAAATGGCCGCTTTTAAGAAAATTTTAAGAAATCGAAATTAAATCTGATATTCCACTCTATATAATTTCTATCTGAAATACACCAGAATATTTTACTTACTGGAAATAATAAATGTAATCTTTAGCTTTCAATTAAAGCTATAATGAAATAATTCTTTAGCTTTCAATTAAAGTTAAAATGAAATAATGCTTTTTCATTTTAAAAAATTCATTTTAAACCTTGAGTATCGAAAATTTATGCCAAAAATGTGGAGGTACCTAGTCAAAACCAATATAGGTAGAATTTTCCTGAATTTAATTAACAATTTGATCATTCTCCAACACTAAAAAGTATTTTCAACAAAACAACATTAAGGTTAGCTATAACTGTACAGAAAACATAGATGATTACATATCCCAACAGAAAAAATGTATTCATCAGTCTCCAAAACAAAACACTAAAAAATAATACTGCTAAAAGCCAACGCAACTGCCGTAAAAACATAAGCGTTCTATTAAACAGCCATTGAAAGCATAATATACAGAGCTAGGATTGATTCAGACAATGATGTTAGATATTACTTTGGATCCACCGAGAACAGCTGGAAATTGCGTTTCTACCACCACAAAATGACACTGAACAATATTAAATACAATAACTGCACATCACTTTCAAAATATTTTTGGCGAATAAAAAACAACCACCAGAACCCAAACATTAACTGGGAAATAATCGCGAAAGCTAAGCCATACAATGAAAAGGGAGACATTTTAATTCGTGTTAGTTGGAGAAGCTTATTATATTAAGACACTTAGATAACCCACACCTGCTGAACACGAGTTCCGAATTAATGTCTACATTTATACATAAATCCAAGCACCTGCTAAAACACATCGACCCCAATTAAAAGAGATTACAAAATAGATTACACGAATAGTATAATATGCATCAACTTTTAATATTCATAGAACACATCATTAATAACATTTTTTATAAATATAATCTAATATTACTGTATTCGATTTATTCATAACGTATATTTATATATAAAATATAATTTCGCCTTACAAGTACAAAGCTTGCTTTCAAACACATTAGATAGCACCAACCTATTAAATTTTTTATTTGCAGCCAACCTATTAATTTTTTATATTTCCATCCTGAGTATTAATTTTATTTGATATTACTATGATACTTTTGTCAAAAATGAGAGTTACCCACCTTGATATTTTGTTTACCTTTGAATTTAAATTTAAATTCAAATAAATTAAATATTTTTAAATTTATTATTTCTTCGCCTTTCGAACTTACGAATTTAAACAGTATAAATCATTATTAGTTAATTCTAATATTTTAGACAGAAATAATTAAATAAACAAGTTTTAACACCAAATTTTGAATCATCACCACGAGAACTCGAATTAACGGTCAGATTTTATTTGCACCTGAAAATTGCAGCGACTGCATGAAACTTCGAGTCGTGCTATCAACATTGGATATTATGTATATTCACTAATGTATACTTATAGCTCTGTTTCATAACATTGACCACTGTATTTATAACACCTGTAGAAGAAATATATTTATACATCCGTAAATTTTTTTGTGAGTGTATGTATGTTTTTTATAATACACATATCTATCTATCTATCTATCTATCTATCTATATATATATATATATATATATATATATATAGATAGATAGATAGATAGATAGATAGATAGAGAGAGAGAGAGAGAGAGAAGGAGATAGATATATAGTTCGCCGAAAAAATGAATACACACTTCAAGAAAGGAAAATTTTGTCTTTAGTTTTATCAAATTGCGATAACACTGTTTAATGTAGTACAATATTTTCTCGAGAGACAGCATTACCCTCATGGCTGTAGCATCAAAAAGTGACGTATACAACATGGCGGGCGTACATTTGTCATTTGAGAGACGTAAGATTATTTTAAAGTGGCATTTAAAATTTAAGAATGTTGTTGAAGTCTAAAGACAATGGAGCCGTGAATTTGGAACACAACCTCCACACGTTTGATTTAACACTAATTTAATACCTGCAGGCATTTACCTTTGGGTGACCCCTAAAGGATTGGCGGACTACATTGGCGGACCTTAGATAAGAAATTGAAATTGCATGTGCACAGCAATGCCACTGGACGCTTTAGCCAACTTTGCCTAATCACTAGTTCGCCGTATTAATAAATGTCTGGAAGCTAAAGGTCACCATTTTGATCATCTCTTGTGACTGTAAATTCCTAAGGTAACTTAATGTCTAAATAAATTTAGTATTACAATATCTGTACAAGTGTGTATACATTTTTGGACGGACTCTGTGTATATATTAAAAACAAATGACAAGCTTTGTTTAATTTTTATCGTACTTTTCCAATTTTCAAATAAGTTGTTGCATATACAGATCAAAATTGGGAATAAACTGTTCAAAAGTTCATGTTGGTGTATTTGTTTGTTCAAGTAATTTCGACTATCGCAGTCATTTTCAAAAACCAATATGGTGCTGTGTGGTAGGCAAGATTCATTTGTCTATATCCTGTAGATTGATGACGACATTATGTGTACATAAGACAGTAATGAAGACATTCCGTTGTATTCCCAAGGTATATGTGTTGTTTTGTTTCTATACAATCACTGTAGGGTACATTCCATACATTCTTAAGATGATTACATTAATTCTGTTGTTATATAACAGATACAATGGCAGTAAAGCAAAATAAGCAAGTGACTTGTGATGAATAATCAGGCAATTACAGATGACGTGACAGGTGATGTCTTAGATATTTTTATATTTTATTATTCATAATCTAATAAGTAACAAAATTTCATATTTTTGTTATTTAAATTTGTTTTATTCAAATATATTTTTCTTGAATTCAACCGAGCTTCACAAATCGAAAGGGTGATTTTAAAAGACAAAAGAATTATTGATATTCTCTGGAAAGCTGAAAGTTTGAAATA